GAAAGGAATGACTCTAACATAAGGACGGTTAACCCAACTAACCAAGGATCGTCTGTAAGAAATAACGAAGCCAACACGAGACCGCTCCTCTGTCGAAGATGCAACAAAGATCATAGGGCCAAGGATTGCGTGGGGAACCCCTTGCGGTGCTTCAACTGCGGAGGAGAAGGACACAAGTCCTTCCAGTGCACTCGACTCCCGAGCACAAACCCTACGGTCATAGGCCAACAAGGGAGCACGAATAACCGAGGGAATTACGGGACCCCCGGAAAAGTATTCATCATTAGCCGCACCCAAGCCGACCTTGAAATTGACGCCAACCTCGACGCAGGAAATGTAGCCCTAGGGGACGAAGATCCCGCGAATCAATCGGAGTAAATTCCAGAAGAGAAATTCTGCCTAGGATAAAACTGCGAAGCCCTGTAAACGACCTTTTTTGTAGAATCGCTTATTTAGCTCGGTTATTTAGAAGTTCTCGTACCTTGAATAAAAGACAAAATTAGTTAATTCAATCAGTTTAAATTCCCCCCCCCCCCTCGGCTACCGCCCCTCGGGATAAGTGGAGGACTAAGATCCACACCTCCTATAATCCACGAGTCTTAAACCCAACACACGGTGAAAGCAAAAGTCCGACAAGGGGTTTCGGTCAAGCCACTTACCACATCAAAAGAAAGATAGGAAGCCTAGGCATGGAAGGGATGCACTAAAAAAACTAATGCAATTAGTGAGAATACAACCTTGAACCTTTCACTTACAAGATTAAAGCCTTAACCACTAGGCCATGAGTGTTTCTTGAAACTTTAAGGGAACACTCCCTTCTTAAACCCCTCCAAATCCCTAAAACCCACAAAATCCCCAAATCAAAAACCCTTCTCCTTCTTCTCCCTCTCACATTCTCTCTCTCAACAAAAACCACCGCCGACACCACCCCAAAGACCACAACCTTTGCCGCCGCATCACCACAACCGCCTGGTGACCGCCCGTCCCATACCCGTTGGAGACCTGCTGCCACCGCTCTCCGCCATCAACGAGGCGAGGCAACACTGCCGCCTCGGCCCCCGATGGAACACCGCCCCCCACCGTAACCGGACTGCACGCCAGCACCGACCGGCGCGACCTCCACACCCCGCCGTCGACACCCTGCTGCGCCATTCCCGTCGCCTAGCTCGCCAGGGAGTCCCTCCAAACCAGAATCAACCCCGAGCGATGCCGAAGAAACCCGTCGGTACCTGAGTCCCGGAATGGAACGACGCCAACTACATGGTGATCGGAGGTAAAGAGCTCGAAACCGACCAATTCTCTGGAGTTGGTTGAAATGCTTAAATACCAAGGCCTCTTGGATACCTATCTTGCGATTAAAGGGGATACGTACCCCGAATTGGTGAAGGAGTTTTATTGCCATTTGGTAGCCACCAAACGGGGAGACAAGTTGGAGATCACCTCCAAGGTTCGGGGCAAGGAGATAGTCCTCTCTGAGGGCCGCTTAGTGTGGTTTATTGCCATTTAGTGTGGTTTGTTATGAGTTATGTTAGGATAAGTGTTGTAACACCCCAGATTTTCGAGAACTTTTTAAACTTATATAATAAAGGAAATCTCTTATGAATTCCCAAAACAGAGCATACTAAACATAAGTGTTTGGGGTGTTATGCCACATCTGAGCTGGAGAACTCAGATGCACAGGCTAAACTATCTAATTATCCTCAAATCAATGTCATTACATCATCGTGGCACGCATGCCGAAAGGGAAGTTAACTATCTAAGCCTTGGGTTCTCTAGGGCCCTCTGGAGATACTCATCTGTGCCTGAAAGCCAAATATATCTGTTCAGCGAATGATGATGGTAACCCACTCTAGCGCATTAAAATACAATATAGGTATATATATATATATATATATATATATATATATATATATATATATATATATATATATATATATAGAGAGAGAGAGAGAGAGAGAGAGAGAGAGAGAGGAAAAACCATTTTGAAGCAAGAAGATAAATACTTAGGAGACTCTAGCTTTAAAACCAGGATTAGACTGGACAGATAGGGATAAGCACATTCAACAATGATAATCAATTATATAGAGACAACATCATATATACATGTACCTAAGGTTACATATTACTTTCATGTCATTCACATCATCATCCAATCAAAATCTTTATCACACAAGCACACTTTGGTGGTGCTACGGGACCAATCGCATGCCCATACATGAGGGTTAGTGCATATAGCGCTAACACTGCCCTGCAGCACCTACGTCATACCGCAGCATGAAGGAATTGACCGCAACCAATTTGTATAGACCGTCGATGGATTCAACGGCGGACCACAGTCCTACACACCGCTGACGCGTTCAGTCGGTGGACTGTGATCCTCTTTTGAGGACTACGATCCTACACACCGCTGACGAGCTCAGCTGGTGGATCGTAGCCTATCATAGCCCTACACACCGCTGATGTGCTCAATCGGTGGACTATGATCTTCTTTTGGGGACTACGATCCTACACACCGCTGGCAAGTTCAGTCAGTGGATCGTAGCCGACCATAGCCCTACACACCGCTGATAAGCTCAGTCGGTGGACCATGGCCTTCCTCGTGGCCTGTAGCCCTACACACCGCTGACGCGTTCAGTCGGTGGGATGAGAGTGGAAGCGATTGATTATTGAATAACTGAATCAGGAATACATATATACTCTCAAGAGAGAGACCTAACTAATTGGCTAAAGACTAGGACATTTATTCTTTGCTACACATTATACATCAGAACATATAATTAAATAACATATTCTAACACTCCCCCTCAAGCACAAGGGTGGTGGCATACCACATTGGGCTTGCTACGTAGAGTTCCAAACCGTGCTGCCGGAAGCGGTTTGGTGAAGATGTCCGCAAGCTGGTCTTTAGTTGAGACAAAATGAACCCGAAACTCGCCGGAGGAAACCTTATTCGGACAAAATGATAGTCCACCTCAACATGCTTGATACGAGCGTGGAAGACAGGGTTCGCGGAGAGATACGTGGCTCCAAGATTGTCACACCACAGTGCTGGTGGCGTGGTAGAACACAAACGAAGCTCCCGTAACAAGGAAACTATCCAGGTGACCTCGGCGCAGACATTTGCCAGCCCTTTGTATTCGGCTTCGGTGGACGAACGGGCTACTGTTCGCTGTTTCCTGGAGACCCATGAGACCAGATTTGACCCCAAAAACACAGCATACCCACTGGTAGACTTCCGGTCAACCGGACAACCGGCCCAATCTGAATCCGAGTAAGCATGGATATCAGATGATATAGAAGGCGAGACGCGGAGACCGTAGTCAAGGGTACATTTAATATAGCAAAGCACACGTTTTAGCAGCCCCCAATGTTCGTCTGTGGGTGTATGCATGAACTGGCATAAGCGGTTTACCGCATAGGACATATCCGGCCGAGTGATTGTGAGGTACTGTAGGGCCCCAGCGAGACGACGATACTGAGTCGGATTGTGGAAAGGATCAGTAGACTGACTAACCGGCTGCGTCACCGCGGCTGGAGTGGCTAGAGGCTTGCACTCGGACATGCCAGCTCGCTGCAGAATGTCACGCATGTACCGCCGCTGTGTAAGAAGCATGCCATCCGGAGTGGTAATAGTCTCTATGCCAAGGAAGAAGGCAGGCTTTCCCAGGTCCCTGATTTTGAAAGTCGTTGACAGCTGGTGTAGAAGAGAGTCAATTAAGGCAGTATTATCACCCATCATGATAATGTCGTCGACATAGACGAGTAAGAAAACTCGTGAATCCCCAGACGAGTAGTGAATTAGGGACACATCTGTTTTGGAAGCAATAAACCCTGTCACAAGTAAAAAATCATGTAAACGATTGAACCAGGCCCGCGGCGCCTGTTTCAACCCATAGAGCGAGCGCTGTAAGTGGCAGACATGGTCAGGATGATCCGGATCTTCATAACCTGGAGGCTGTCTCATGTAGACAATCTCTTATAGACGCCCATTTAGGAAGGCGTTGTGGACGTCCAGTTGACGGAGGGTCCACCCGCGTGACACGGCGAAAGAGAGTAACAGCCGTACTGTGGTCGGTTTAACCACCGGACTAAAAGTCTCTAAGAAATCCTCGCCAGCGACCTGGTTAAAGCCCTTGGCTACTAACCTGGCCTTGTAGCGTTCTACTGTCCCATCGGCCTTGCGCTTAGTGCGAAAGACCCACTTACATCCCACAACATTCATATTCGGTGTAGCTGGAACTAGCTGCCAAGTGTTATTATGAAGCAAGGCGTTGAACTCTTGATCCATAGCATCCCACCATTGCGGATGCCCAATAGCCTGCGAGTAGCAGGTCGGATCATCAGTGGTTGCAGTGAGAGCGTGAAACTGCTCTCCGGTGCCTTGTGCCATACGCCGAAGTCGCATAACATGTTCCCGATCACCAGGTTGAGCCCGTTGCCTCCGTTTCCTGGGTGCACGAGCTGGTGCTTGAGGAGGAACGGGAGGCGCTGGGGCGGGGACGTCACAATTGTTGTTAGACAATAAGACAGGACTTGATCCCCAGGGTGGTGCATGTACTTCAGGTACCGGGACATTTTTCTTTAAAAGACCTGTTGCAAAGGGAAAAGTAGTTTTGCCAAAACGGACATGACGACAGATATAGGTTTTCCCGGTGTTGCACATGCAGCGGTAACCCCTAAAAGACGACGGGTAACCTAAGAATACACACGGACTTGACAGGTACTCAATTTTGTGTCGGTTATATGGACGTAAGTGGGGAAAACAAAGACATCCAAACACACGGAGATAAGTGTACGTGAGTGGAGTCTTATATAGGCGGAAAAAGGGTGTATCAAACTTGAGTGAGGCTGACGGAAGGCGATTTATAAGATAAGTCACCGTTTCAAAGGCATGATCCCAATAGCGTTGCGGAACAGACGCTTGGTCCATTAACGCCAAGCCAGTTTCGACTATATGGCGATTTCGACGCTCCACACGGCCATTTTGCTCGTGTGTGTAGGCACACGACTGCCGGTGTACAATACCCAGGGTAGAAAAAACTTTATGTAACTTTGGGTACTCCTCCCCCAAGTCAGACTGGATGGACTTGATAGAACGTGAAAACGTCTGTTCTACCATCGCCCGGAAAAGATCAAAAATTTTATATATGTCTGTTTTCAAACGTAGAGGATAGTACCAACAATAGCGAGTACAATCTTCTACGAAGAGTACAAAGTAGCGGGACCCATCTGCTGAAATGACAGGTGCAAGACCCCATATATCAGTAAAAATAAGGTCGAGTACATTTGAACTTGATGTAACTACCCTATCTAAAGGAAAATGTGCCGATTTTCCAAGTTGGCACGGAGTACATAATTTTGGTGTTACATTTTTATTTGACTCGACTGGACACTCTTTAAGACACGACGCAGAGCTTGGCTGTGAGGGTGACCGAGACGCTGGTGCCAGACCGAAGAAGAGGCACGAGCAGAGACGAACGCATAGTGATTATTCGGTAGCGACAATGAATAGAGACCTCCCGAACTTGGACCTTTAAGGAGCACCGCCTGAGTGATTGAGTCCTTCACAACAAAATAAGAGGGGTGAAATTCGAAATAACAATTGTTGTCCCGGGTAAAACGATTAACAGACAGTAAAGACACTGATAATTCAGGAACGTGTAAAAGATTAGATATTTTTAAGGACTTTTTGACCGTAGGAATTACTGCATGACCCACACGCGAGATCACCAAACCTGTGCCGTTGCCCACTCTTAGAACATCATCGCCGTGGTAGTCCTCAGGATTGATGATTACGCTTGAATCGGGTGTGGCGTGGGTTGACGCCCCGGTGTCCGGCAGCCAATACAGGTAATTCCGGTGTGTCAACTTAAGCGACACGAAGTGATGCGCACTCGTGAGTGTGTTCGGACCGGTGTTGGCAGAGGAAATAGTGATGGCCGTGGGGGTGCGCTCAGAACTTCCGGTCAACATGATCGACGTGAAGAGAGAGAAGGGTGAGAGGGGGATTGTGACTGGCTAACTGATACCAGATGAGAGTGGAAGTGATTGATTATTGAATAACTGAATCAGGAATACAAATATACTCTCAAGAGAGAGACCTAACTAATAGGCTAAAGATTAGGATATTTATTCTATGCTACACATTATACATCAGAACATATAATTAAATAACATATTCTAACAGGTCGACTATAGCACATGAGGCCCACTTGGTGGACTGCAGCCTTACACACCGCTGACGAGCTCAATCGGTGGACTGCAGCATATGTAAACCAACTTGACCGCAGCCAAGAGTCATGCACATATATCACGTAGCAAGCACATGCAATTCACATTAACATATTGGGGAAGGGGAGAAAACGTATAAAGAAACCTATGTGTGGTCATCCACGTACTAGGAAATATCTTAAGGGTTCATGCATCTTTCACCTAGGCCAACGGGGTACCAATTCAACTAGCATGCAATACACAAGACTCTTTTATCCTACGAACGGTACCTGAAACATCAAACTAGACTTAGGCACGATAAACGGAGTCTGTTGGGACACCACGAGGGTCGGGGAACATCAAACGGGGAAGCAGAAATCCCAAGGTGGGAAAAATCCAGCGGGTGGAAGGCCATCCGCCGGCGACGAGTCTCTGGGCAGCGGGTGCCTGGCGGGCAGTCGTCTGCCCGCTGTAGGCGACGTCAATTCGGGTAGCGGGTAGGTGGAGGGTCCCCCTACCCCCCACTGACTCTTTTTCCATACTTGGGTCCCGGGATCTTTTGTGGAACCCGAAACCATGTTTAGACACTTTTAAACGCAAACGACGACACCACGTAGTCAAATAACGGATCAAAACCAAGAATCACATTGAACATATCCTAACATGACTTCTAAACATAATCAACACCCGAACATGCAAATTCCCACCCAAATATATCAAGAATATCACAATACGAATTTCACGATTCGACCTAGGGCTCTAATCATAATTAATCACAAAAATCATACTTTATCTTTAAAATCAAGAACATCAAGATTTATCAAGGATCAACACACAATTATCAAGATCCTTTTATAATCATCAAGATTATCAAGATCAACACATAATATCATCTCATCAACATCAAGATCATATCATAATCATCATAAAAGATTTATCAAGACACAAGCATAAAATAAGGAGCCAAAGAAGAAGATTATAGCAAGGAAAATAGGTTTTGTTGAGACATGGGTTACCTCTTAGCCTTAATCAGAATCTTGGCTACTAAGGTTCTTCTCTAAGATTTTTATCCGATTGATCTCTCTAGGCTTGGTGGTGGGGAATCTCCCGGGAATATTTTCGTGTAATATAACTATGGGTGGTGTGGGTTCTAAATGCTTTCTAATCCTCTATTTATAGAATCAGGAATCTTAATCATAATCTGAATAGTAAAGGCCTACTTTCTTTATTCCCAATAGATTATAGGTCTAGGATTCCTAATTAGAGTCTGACTAGTAAAAGGTTTACTCTCTTTATTCCTAATAGGCTTAAGACTCTAGTTTAGGCAAGGGTCCACAATCCATGGTATACCACATTAATTAATCAAAGGGAACCTAATCAAATTAAGTCCTTTTTAATTATTATTAACAGAATTAATTAAATAAATAATTCGGGATTAAAGGCCGTAACACGTGGTGTTACACCCTCCTCCCCCCCCCCCCCCCCTTACAAGAAGCTTCGTCCCCGAAGCTTAGAAATTATTTTGGGGTAAAGAGCCCGAATTAGTATAATGGTACATAAGGAAAGTATTATACGGGAGATATACACATATATAATTTACTGGGTTTAAGCCTAACTATTGTGCTAGCAAAATGCACCAAATAACAAGGTTACAGATATGCAACTCACATTATGTTAATTTTACGGATGACTGATAACATAACATAGACGGCATGCTCATTGCTTAATTATTTTATAATGATTTAACATATAAGATCATAAGTTGCACCGAACATATAATTATTTATGTACCTAAATGAGAGACAAATGTCATGCGGGTGCAAATTCGGATAGCCACATAGTTATTATAAAGCACATATGCACATATATCAACACAGGCGAACCTTATTTACAAATGGATGCAAATATTTAATATGTAGTGTAGTATACCGTGAGCCAAAATGCCATATATGTAGGATCTATGCCTAATCATTGTGCTAGGTGAACTATACCAAATACTCATAGTTACGAAATAACAAGTCTAACACGTATGATAATTAACTATTATGTTATATGCGAAACCTGCAAGTCGTCATGCCTATATGTATACAGTCGTAGTCATGCTAAATATGCAATTTCTTAGGTCTATAGGGATAGAGTATGAGGGCATGTGAATCTATTTTGAGTCTTAAATACTAACTAGTCCTATGAAATCATAAAGCACATATACGCATTATTTCACATGTTAAATTACTGCATGATGTACTCAACATCGTGGTATAACTAAACATTTGTCATATAAATTCGGGAAGGTCATAAATCATATAACAATTATTCAAATAGAGAAAATCAAATTTTGAGGAAAAGATTGTAAGTAATTAGGAGGAAGGTTCTTGCTTCTTATGGGGTAAATAAATTCTGGGGAGATAATAGGATTAGGATCTTTATTTTGCATATCATGGATAATGGTGGGTGATCACATAACAAGTATTGGCAGTCATATGCAGGTTGCTTGTAATTAATACTATTGTATATATACATAGTGGGATGCCTTATAACATATAGTTTTGCCTATCATGCTTTGTATATATAAATGAATGCGTGTAAGTGTGTGTTTGGATATAAACATGCGAGCTATGCGCATTACATATGAAAATATAAATTTCCACCTATAATTGGAACATGCAATTCGTATACAAATATTCTTTAATAATTACGAGTAAAATGGCATAGGTTCTCAAATACTAAAAGGTTTATCTTGAGAAATCTTGACAGAATTTGATCACACAAGTACTTAGGAAAATTAGTTTTATCTCGGTGGTAAATATATTTTAGGTAGGCAGAAATCTTACCTCTAGAAGCCCAGAATACCTAAACAATTTAGAATTGAAGACCCTTGATTGCTAATTCCTAAATCAATTGATGACCTGATGATGAGGCTAAAGTTTTTAATTATTTAGGGAAGGTAGGAGTGGTAACAGGGAGGTCATGCGAGGGGGAAAAGTAGAATTAGGGCTATCTCAGGATATGTGTATGTATATATATAAGAGTGGTGTAATTTGTACGGAATGATATTATAGGGTTAGGATATGCTAAGTGCAAACTCATGGATGCATATAAGATTATCATAGTTAGGGTACATGTGTATGGTTTGGGGCTAGGGATATTATTGTATATAATATGACGGTAACAATTTATATGAATACGTATGAATAAGGGAGGATGTTCTATAGGCTCACAAGTTATATATATATATATATATATATATATATATATATATATATATATATATATATATATATATATAAGCATATAGGGACGTACCGTATACGATGCAACCATGGAAGATTTAGGATTTAGGCAAGGTGATTAGGGTTAGGGTGTAATAATAATGAAAATAATAATAATAATAATACTAATACTAATAATAATAATAATAATAATAATAATAATAATAATAATAATAATAATAATAATAATAATAATAATAATAATAATAATAATTTGCGTGTAAGTGTAGCATACAAATGTAATTGGGATTTACTACATACTTTAGGAACGTATATATTTATATATATAATAGAAGTTTAGGGGGATATATTTAGAGTAGTAGTGATGTACCTATTCATGTATAAAGGTTTGTTTAGGGGGTCCTTATCTTAGAGGTCAAGGGTTCTAAACAAGCCATTGGAAGCTTGTGGTCTATTATGCAACATGGACCAAGGTCTAGAGGGATAGTTTTAAGATAGTTTGGGGACGCAATATATTTTTCGAAAGATAATTTCTAGATGACCACTTGGTTTAGGTTCCTCGAATTTCTCCCGGTCTCACTCGGATTGTCTTTC